CGTTTTCTTGAGTAATGTAGGCGTTACATGGCGTAAAGCGACTCGGGAAGAGCAGAATGCGATGCCCGCCGAGCGGAGCGCGGCAGCATCCTGCTGTAGTGAGGGGGTTCCGAGGGCGCGCGGGGTTGCGTGGCAGGGCAGCTCCGGGTGAGCGTGGCGGCCAGCTCAAAGCTGAAACTCCGAGCGACCAAAGGACACGTCTGGTAGACCCCAGCTTCCCTCTGGCAGGGGCTTCTTTATGCGCTGACAGAGGTTTAAGATCACTTTGCATTTTTTTCCATTTGACTGTTTCTCCGTTTACGAGTGGGTTTTTGACTTGCAGGGCGACTTTGTAGATAGAGGTTATTACAGTCTCGAGACTTTCACTTACCTTCTCGCACTAAAAGCTAAGTGGCCTGACCGCATCACGCTGTTGCGAGGCAATCACGAAAGCAGGCAGATAACGCAGGTGTACGGATTTTACGGTAAGTCTCTATCCGAACCGTCTCTGAACAGGGGCTAACGCGTAAGAACCGAGCATGGCATCCTTCCCTCGGGAAACCTGCTTGGGATGCAGCACTGCCCGGGCCCGTCCCGGGACTGGATGGGAAGCGGGTCTGGTAGAACCCAAATGTGTCCGGGAACGCGTTACCGTGTTCGCGAAGCAGAACGCGCCTTAGTCCAGGTCTCGCCGCTCTCTTCCTCTAGCGCTGTTTGGGTTCTGTTTGGGTTTTTGGTGCCAGGTTCGGTTCTGGGGACAGGGCATACGTTCACACAGCACCTGCTTCGGTGTCTGGTGACGGAGGGTCCTCGCAAAGTCACGAGGATGCTGTAATGGCCCCTAAGTTTCAGCGTAACCCAAAATCGGTGTCACGCGTGGAGTTTGTGGTGAAAGTCGTTTATTGTAACTGTAGGAAAATGCCCCTGGTGAGACATGAGCAGCAGAACAACACTTTGAAAAACTGAGGGACTTAAACTTCTCGGAAAGTTCTTTGTTGCCGTGTGAGGCTTTGCCAAAACGTGAGGAAATCCTGCCGAGTACCTAAACCTGCCGCAGGGCGACGCCTGTACCGAACTTCCTGTGGGCTGACCAAGAGCAAGCAGGAGCGTTCCCGGGTCGCCTCAGACCCTGCCCGCCAGGTTTAGGGCCGCGTGGCTTTACAAAGCCGGTTTGCTCTCTGCCCGGCGCGGGGCTGAGTGAGCGCGCACCAGCAGGTGCCTCGTTCCCTTCCTGTGGGGGGGCCTGGCCAGCAGCAGGACCGAGCGCTCCCCACCCGCTGCTTAGTGGTGCTCCAGGTGGGGTGGTGGTTTAGGGCCGCCCTTCCGGTTCTGCTGCAGTGTTTGCCTCTGCTCTTACTGTCTGACTGCCTTCTGAGCCGCTGGGAGCAACAGAATTCTCTGTTTAACAGATGAGTGCCAAACCAAGTACGGAAATGCGAATGCTTGGAGATACTGTACCAAAGTCTTTGACATGCTCACGATAGCAGCTGTAAGTGTAAACGCCACGTTCCGAACACACGCAGGCTGTCGGTGACCTGTGAGGGTCACGCTGGTGGCGTGCTGGGCTGGGTTAGAGCGTTGAGTGATTCGCGCCTGTGTCTCTCCCCGCAGTTAATCGATGAGCAGATTCTCTGTGTGCATGGCGGCCTCTCTCCAGACATCAAGACCCTCGATCAGATTCGAACCATTGAACGTAATCAAGAAATTCCTCACAAAGGCGCCTTCTGCGACCTCGTTTGGTCTGATCCAGAAGACGTCGATACGTGGGCGATCAGCCCGCGGGGAGCAGGCTGGCTTTTCGGGGCAAAGGTGACGAATGAGGTAATGATGCTGTTGTGTGCAACATGAAGTAATTGCAGGAAGGAGAGAAACTGCAGCGTTCGGCTCAGTTTGATACCTGCCCCAGCGACGGCTGGGTTGAGGGTACGGGGAGCTGGATGAGAGCTCCTTCCAGTGCCTGGGGCGGGGGAGGGCATTTTCCAAGGGCAGGGAGTGACAGGATGAGGGGTAACGGGTTTAAATTGAAAGTGGGGAGGTTTAGATTAGATATCAGGAAGAAGTTCTTCCCGGAGAGGGTGGGGGGCACTGGGACCGGTTGCCCAGAGAAGCTGGGGATGCCCCATCCCTGGAAGTGCCCAAGGCCAG